TTAGATGAAGGTTTACAGAACAAATAGTTTCTCATTACACAGTCAGTACACATATTGTTTTATGACATTGGTTAACAACCCCACAACATGTCAACACTCTTTCTTCTCTATCTTGGAGGACTTTTTTTTTGGTGAAAGTATACATAGCCAAAGTTACACCATTTCAAAAGTTTCTACATGTACAATTCAGTGACATCAATTGCATTCTTCCAGTTGTGCTGCTATTCTCACTATCCTTTTCCAGATTATTCTATCACCATTATCTTCAACCCACTGTCCCCTAGGCTTCCCATCAAACCTTTTGAGTTGCTGTTCTCAATTCGATCTCACACAGATAATTCTTTTTTTTTTTTGTACCTTGGATGAAGGTTTGCAGAACAAATAGTTTCTCATTAAACAGTTAATACACATATTACCCTTTAACAGTGGTTAACAACCCCATGACATGTCAACACTGTCCTTCTCCACCTTGGGTTCCCTATCACCAGCTTTCCTGTCCCCTCCCGCCTTCTAATCCTTGTCCCTGGACTGCTGTGCCTCATTAGTCCTGTTTTGTTTTATGAGGCTGTCCAATCCCTGGCTGAACGGTGAACTTTGGGAGGGGCTTTACCACTGAGCTAAAAGGGTGTCCGGGGACCATACTCTCAGGGTTTCTCCAGTCGGTCAGGCCAGTAAATCTGATCTTTTTTTTGTGAGTTAGAATTTTGTTTTACATCCTTTTCCAGCTCTGTCCAGGACCCTCTATTGTGATCCCGGTCAGAGCAGTCAGTGGTGGTAGCCGGGCACCATCTAGCTGTACTGGACTAAGTCTGGTGGAGGCCGTGGTAGCTGTGGTCCACTAGTCCTTTGGACGAATCTTTTCCTTGTATCTTATTGTCTTCATTCCCTCTTGCTCCCGAAGGGGTGAGACCAGTGGAGTATCTTAGATAGCTGCTCACATGCTCTTAAGACCCCAGACGCTACTCACCAAGGTAGAATGTAGAACATTGTCTTTATAAACTTACACCAGTTGAGCTAGATGTTCCCCGAGACCATGGTCCCCACAGCCTTCCGCCCAGCAATTCAGTCCTTCAGGGAGTTTGGAAGTGTCTATGGAGCTTCCGTGACCTTTCCTTGTACAGGATGTGCTAGCTTCCTCGGTATTGTGTATTGTCTTACCCTTCACGAAAGTTACCACTTATCTATTGTCTGTTTAGTATTCCCCCCACCCGTCCCATCATGACCAGCAAAGATTGTTAACTTTTTGTGTGTAAACTTTTTCATGGGTTTTTACAACAGAGGTCTCATACAATATTTGTCCTTTTGTGATTAACTTATTTCACTCAGCATAATGTCCTCCAGTTTCATCCATGTTTTGAGATGCTTCACAGATTCATCATTGTTCTTTATCTTTGCATAAT